TAGTACCGTTACTTCAAAGGTGTAAATACATTATTCAACATTTGAAATGCAAGGATAGGCACGAAGTTAATTAATGTCGGAAAATGCCTCGTGAAATGCGGTGACAGAATTAAGGTACGCGAGTGCACTTGTCGCTCACATTGCTTTATAAATTCTGCCACTCAAAGGTCGCTGACGTTTCAGCTTTTAATATTCTGAATATACGCCATCTGACAGACATCTGTACTACGATATGTTTCTATTCCTTTATATTGTGCGACTTGGCCTTTTGGATTTGAGGCCGCTACTAGCTAGCACGTGCCAGCTACATGCGGTGGTAACGTTAGCTTTTATGCCAGATTACACGGAACTTGTAGACTGTTTACTGACCTTTTATAAGAAAAGGAGGCAAAAGATCGAAGATCAACGCCGACTTTAGGCTCGCTTCTTGAAGGTCCCTAAGTTGTACTGCTTAGGTAATGCCACCAAGGGCAGACCGTTATTTCGACTGCCAGCCATCGAGATGGTGTGGATAGAACCAATGGAATTGAACGCATTGTGCCATGTACTACCCAACTTTACTGGCATGGGTATTTGCGCCTCAATGACGAAATCTCGATGGGTCCGACGTAACATATCGTATGTTTGAAACGCACGTGATATGACCCCGAGGTTGCGCGGTCCGCACGCGCCGTTTTTAGATCTATTTTTACAGATTTTTTTATAAAAAATATTAGTTTTTTTGACGTCTTGGTACTTTACTTTTATACTACTAATACATTATAGTAAAATTTTATTATTCATTGTCCTTATTACAAACAACATCTCGTTAAGTGTCTTTTTCTTGAATTTCAAAATCTTTGCTAATAATTTAAATGTTAATACGATTGTTTAAGTCGCTTAAACATAACCATGAGATAGAGAAAACTTTCAAATTTATAAAAGCACCAGAACTTTTAAGATCATCTTAAAAAAAACAAGATGTAAATCGCAAAATGTGGCTTACGTAGGAAGCGTCATTTCATTTAATCGCTTAAAATATTCTTAAATCTGATACAGTCTGCATCGTGAGCAGTGAAAACAAGGGATATATCTCTATTTGATCAAATATTAAAGTCGACGACATCCGGCGGCTGACGTTTTTCTTTGCTATTCACAGCGCGAACAATGAAAATTTGATGTGACGAAGGCTTTCATCAATGTCAACTATGATTTTTCTGTTTTTATTATAATCTTTACGATTTAAAAAGTATACTCAGTCAAAAAGTAATCAACACTTATAGTGCAAATGTTTAAATATTAAGTCGGGTATTAAATATTTTACAATAACTTTCGCCTGCGACTCCTTCCGAATGGAGTTACAAAAAAAAACAAAAAGTAAGTAGCCTATGTGTTCCTTGAGACTATTCTCTACATCTATACCAAATTTCATCGAAATCCTTTCAGCCGTTTAGACTACAAAATCTAATAAACATCCATCCATCTAAACTTTCGCATTTATAATAATAGTATGATGATGTTGGGAAGTTATTTTGAAACCTAGTGAACATTACCTGACTTTTAGAAAAACTGGACGATGGTAGGTATACATACGGGAACTATTACCAAGTGTCTGCTGCCTTGAATTAATTTTGCTCTTTCTATTTTATTACTAACATTAATTAATTCACTGTACATAATCATACGACGAGAAAGTGGTCATAACAAACTTTTGTTCTCTACCAAGACCCCGATTTGGATGATAAATATTTTTAGTTCTGGCAAACGTAGGTTTGGGTCACCGAATGGGTTAATCTCTCCGCCGGCTGCACCTGACGTGCCAAATTACGACATTACCGTACTTATTGCCAGCCTCCGTGTAAAACGCTGGTAAAACAAGATTTGTTACGTCATTCTTCTAGACTATTTTGGAAGTTGAGTAGTGTTTTATTAGCGTTATTGCTAAAATGAAATATTTCGAATACCTTTTGTTATAACAATACTTTTGTTATAATTTACAGATTTGTTTTTATTTATTTCAATTATATTTAAAAAAATACTGTTAATCTTAATTCTGTATTAAATTAATAAAAAAAAGTCATCAAAAGATTAACATAAAAGTTAAAGAACCATATTGATCTATCTTATTTAGATAAAAAAGTTTACATAGTTTATTAAAATACTAAAGTGCAGCACTCAAAATCTTTAGGTGTAGAATTAATTTGAGAAATTCACACTAAAAGACTCCCTTCTTAAAACTAGACAGTGGTAGAATCTGTTTTAACATCTTCGCACGAATGGGTCGACACGCTCAGTGCAATACCACGACCACACAAGACAGACGTGAAGTAGAATTAATTCCGCGTTTCGTTTAAAGAGTGTGCGTACCGGATGCCCAATTTTAGTACAATACCTTTCACATCAATTTCTTGTTTCCCAACTTTTTATTGTAAAAAAATCTCTTAAGGAATACGACAGTGAGGCACTAAAGCACACAAAGCCAACTGACATAAATCCAAAAAGTCTTTTAAACACTCTTAAAACGTAACACAGAAATCCAAGTTGACACTGTAGCCGCGCCGCGCCGGACGCATACAAAATTCATTTGTGACAATATGGATGGCAGAGAAACTGCCCCGCAATACGGTCCACGTTAATTTTTAATCGTATTTAAATATATCTTCCTCTTACTGTGTGGACATTGTTGGGTAAATTTTGTTATTTTTATATACAGGACGAAAACCTGAATACCCTAGATGAGCGGGATAAGGACGGGAAGATAATGATACTCACGTTTTTCATGGGTTTCGTTAAACATTTTTCTAATAAAAACACATTTCTGTGTCTACGTTAATTTGTAATTATAGGAACTTCGACAGTCACATTTTACGTAAATCTATATATCTTTCCCGGTGCACGAAGTTGCGTAATTAGTGGTAGAATATGAAACAGTCTGTTTGTCTGAGGGGCTGGTTTTAGCCGAGATCAAACGGAAGTCCCCGCGGCGCTGTTACCAAATGAAAAGCATACGTTGTAAAATTAAATGAAACTGTTAAGTCGAGAAATTTTTATGAAAAAACATTGTCTAATTTAATGTTTTTTAAAATCCTTCGTAGATTTTATTTCTTATTAAATTTTTATGTTTCAATCCGGTTCTTTAAAAAAAAACAAAGAATGATACAGATTTTGTAATTGCCGCTTCGAAGTTGAAATCTTATTTTAATTTAGCGCCATCTGTTGAACGGGTCGACAACAATCTTAATATGTGAAAAACAAAAAAAAAACCGAAGACGTATTTGTTTACTTTAATATTATAAATCTAATCTCAGAATGAAGAAAAAATATGACTAGTAGAAAAATATATGTGGCAGCTTGTTAGAAGTAAGAGAAAGTAAGGTTCGTTTCTGTGCGCAACATAAATAGGTCGAGATCCGAGGTGAACGTTTGCGTATATTTGTTTCAAGAGAATAATTATGGAAATAAAAGCTTCTGAAGCTAAGTGGAGCAAAGAAATAAAAATAGTGTCACCGAAAAGAGGATAGGTTATTACTGACGATTTTTACTTGTCATGGTTTCATATTATGACCCCAATTATGTTATCAATGTTGTGATTCTTGTGATCTTGGGATATCTTATTCCTATTTAACATACATATCTGTAAAAGACGTATAGATCGAAAGATAACAAATTTCTTGGCCAAAAATACGACTATTTACCCTAAACGTGAATCTAAAGTTGCTTAGTTTAGACGCTAGAGGGCTTCAACTCTAAAATAACGGATAAAAATAACATTATTGACTAATGACAATGTAAATTATCTTTACATCTTCCTATCGAATATTGAAAAGAAACCTTTTTCCTTAATATTTTTTTTCAATTTGTTACATGTCTAACTTTATTTCTTACGGGGTTTGGCATATTGACCAAGATTTATTGCACTTTACAAGTCTCTGCTTATTGATGGATTTACCTTTTGACCTCGGATGTTTTATTTACTAAAGAAAAGCACATATTGTTAGTAATTTGTTTATAAATTGTAAATTCATTCTATTATAAAATAATTGAATTTCTCTTATGTTTTTCTTAACAACAGATTGTAAAACACAATTTAAATTAAAACCAACAGAGAAAGTAATTTCACAGTAAATAAGAAAAGATAAATAAAACATTCGGCTGAATTGATTCGCTTGATTCAATATCGTGTACTTCCTTATTACATTTTCACTTCAAAGGTGCTGTCATTTTAACATTCTGTGAAAATTGATAACTTTCCTTTGTATCAAATAGCCTATTTTTTGTGTTTTCGAAAATTCGGAATTTATCATCTAAAGTTACAGTATCTAAATATATAAAATGGAATAAACATTACTATATTTTTTCTTTGTGGATATCTACTCGTAAATCACTAGATAGACTTTGGTGA